ATACTCTTTTTTTTTGTTTTGTTTATATATTCATGATTTAATTACAAAATAGTTCAAATTCTTTTTTTTTTTTTTAAGATATTCTAACAATATGCAGTATTAATTGTGATGCTTGAGCAGCACCACTAATGGCGCTTTTCCACTGTGTGGTACGACTCGGCTTGGTACGGCTCAGTACGGCACAGCACAGTTCGGCTCGTAACGGTTTGCGTTTCCACTGCAGTTCAGTACCGCTTTAGAGTGGGCGGGATTATTCACATGTCGTTATAGTTGCGCCACCTCTACTACCACGACTCCTAAAAAAACCTTTTTCATTCCACGTCGCCCCATCAAGCTCTCGCTGGATCCGCTCCTCTGCTATCAACGAGAGGAACGTCTGTACTTCCGCAACAGACAACAAAACTTTTTGGTTGTTAAAAAAAAGGTGCGCTCGTTCAAAACAGTTGCGTTCGATCCTTCGCTGGCTGTGCTGATTTAAATCTAGCGGTTCTTTTGTGTTTGTGTCGCAAGTTCAGTGATGCAGGTAGTGACGATTCTCTCCGGCCAATCCGTGATCAGCAGAGTTTACACGTCACGTTTTGGTAACAGTACGGTTCACTTGGAACCTCAACCGAAGTGGTACTAAAAAAAGTACCAGGTACTGTACCCAGTGGAAATCCCCCCAAAAGTGAACCGTACCGAGCCGTACCGTGCCGTACCATGCAGTGGAAAAGCGCCATAAGTGTACTGTAAATCTCTTTGGATAAATCACTTCTCACAAATGCCTTATTCTTAGGGGATTTATATAGTTTAAATTAGTCACACATTGGCTACTTTATAATTATGTGTACACTCTAAACAAAAAAAGGTTCTTCAGCGGTTCTTTGGAGTGGTTAAGGTGCTATATAGCACCACTACCGTATAAAGAACCTGTTAAGCCCCTGTATGGTTCTTCAGCGGTTCTTCAGCGGTTCTTTGGAGTCGATGAGGTGCTATATAGCACCACTACCGTAAAACCTGTAAGCCCCTGTATAGTTCTTTAAAGGTTCTTTAACTCTCTCTTAGTCTCTTAGTTTAGTTGGGGAAAGGGTTAAAACAACATTAAAATACAGTCTATTTCTTGAAGATATAATTTCTTTTTTGCCCCCAAGGCCCCCATAAGGAAATATTCCAGGGCCCCCACATGAGACCTTTGACCTCAGAAAAAAAGGACCTCTCCACAAACAACAACACCAACTTCACACATTACTAACCAGTTAGACTTTATTTCTGGAGTATCTAAAACAGAAGGTCTTTATTGAGAATTAAGGTTTAGATGTTTTTTTTTTTCAACTTACCGTTTTGGTGAATAGTGTTTGCTTTAGTTGCCTCTTGACCCTTGACTTTAATTTTAAGTTCAAATAAGTTTCTCTTTGGCTGTTAAAATAGTGTTTATAAAGCACACATGTAATGGCAAGGAACTTATGATAAAATAATTTAATGCGTCTGAGTCTCTTGCTGCATTTGATCAAAATCTGTAGTTCATTTATGAATTTTATATTATTGCAGTTCTATGATACTATGTGACAATGTGAGAAAATTGTATAAACCACTTTTAGAATTATGGGTTATAAAGAGGTTTCAATTCTGTCACTCATAGACATGAAGAATGAGGATGTGAATCTCAGCAATGGTGACAAAATATTCTGATAATTTTGATATGATTTTTGAACATCACAAAACAGGGCAGTAAAAAGTCACAACAAAAATAAAAGCAAATAGTAAGAATAAAAGAAAATACTAAGACAATGCAGCTGCATAATTTATTCATGTCGCAATGCATGCTGGGAGCCATGGATGAGTTATGATTGGTGCACCATTGTTGAGAAAAAGTGCTATATGGCACCTCTTATGGTTCTACATGGCACCATTTGACAAAGGTGCTATATGGCACCTGTAAAAATAGGTGCTAAATAGCACTAAAAGTGGTTCCCCTATGATTACAAGCCAAAGAACCGCTTTTAGTGCTATATAGCACCATTTGTTTTAGAATGTAACTGTATCTGTTATTGCTCATATAATTCTATTATAACATCATATAATTTATTGAATAAAAACCACAAGCATTTGCAATTATAATTCACTGATCATTTAAATAAGTGCAAAACGTGCAGTTTGGCTATATATATATATATATATATATAATTATTTTTTTTAAACATATATAAGGTATAATTCAGTAAATACAGTACATTAAATGCATACCTATTCAATACATACTTTTTTGCATTAAATACTTCCATATACATCACATATTCAAGTTTTTTGCTACCAAACCTAATGCCAGGAAAATGACTTCTGAGAAGCAACCTAACATTTGTAATGCAAGCTTAATATACTGTCCTTAACCTCCTCCCACCGATGTAACTGTTGTAATTGTTCTGATACAACTGAACACTTTCTCTTTCTGACTGCATTGACACTAACATTACCACTCCTTTATGGCAAATAACAAAAAAGTGCCCTCGTAACCCAAACAGAGATGCCCAGCATATTACTATTTGAAATGACTATTTTCTATTTGAATATATGTTCAAATTTAATTTATTGCTGTAATGCATTTTCAAAGCATAATTACTCCAATCTTCAGTGTAACATATTTATATGATGTATCATATTTATGCATAAACCATGATATACCACATATATAT